AGTGTTCAATAGCTGCATGTGCCCAGTGTCTCCTATAGAAAGTCCTAGAGGACTGTGCTGATCTAGCCATTGTCTGTTAGCTCCCACAGTACCCATGGATGAAGTTAGAGCAGGGAAACAATGGTAGAACTTTGGATGGTCGCTTTCCAGTTTATTAAGTACATTTTAGGATGTGGCTACCCTTGGAAGCAAGTCTGTCTTTCTCCTTACTTTTTCTATGACACAGCCAGGACATAAAACTAGATCTTTCTAACTCTTTAAGTCTGATACCTTTTGAATTAGTCATTTTGTCCTGGGATAGTTTAAAATCCCAGGAAGACATGGTGTGCTAGACAGACAGACCTCTATTTCTAGAATGTTTCCTGGTACCCACAGGGGGTTTATTCTAAACTCTGCTCAGTGAGAAACAGCAAGACTCAGCTTCATCTTCAGGTGGGGAAGCAAGTGTTTTCTCATCATGGCCCCTTGTCCCTGCCTCATCCTTGGCCTGCTTAGGCTTCTTCCATGACCTTTGCTTTTCATCCTCTACCCAAATCCGGACTATCCTTCAGGTTCTGACACTCAGAGATCATTATGACCTTGGGCTGTCTAAAACAAGATGAAGAGAGAACATGGGAATAATAGCTCCCAAAGTCCCGATGACTAGTAAATGGCTCAATACAGCATTTTAAAAATGGATGTCCTATGAGAAAGCTACTCCACAGGAATGTTTAAAAGTGTGCCAGAGAGTACTCTATGTATGACTGGCTTTGACAGATACTATTAATAGTAGTAGACACTGTGTGCCAGGTATTTCTCTAAGTGTTACATACATATTAACTTGTTTAATCCCAACAACTATAAACAATCTTATTTATTTTAAAATTTTACTTGAGAGATTTTTGCTATAGGGTGTATGTGCTTGCTGGAGAGACAGAAAGTGAGAAATCACCCCCTGGGGGGGTGGCCACATGGCAATCCCTTCTCCTCCAGTATCCTATCAGGGTGTTGGGTAGGCACACACATAGGCGTCTCGTGTGAGTTTTAAGCCACTGAGTCTGGGACATGAACCACAGCCAGCCATGTGGGAGTCTGGCACCTTAACTAGCATGTCACCTGCTGGCCCCCCAAGAACTCTATTTTAACCTAAAAAATGGATTGAGAGAGAAGTCTGCCTCAGGTCCTAAAGCTAGACAATGTGGGAGCTAAAGCTCCAAATGCATGCTGTTTCTAGGCACACCACCATATCATAATTTCTTTACTACGAGAATCACAATCAAAGTGTACTTTGCTTGTCAAACAAATGTCAACCAGTGTGGATGGGAATAAATAGAAAAACACTTGAGACTGTGTTGGGAGCAGGGACTCCATCAGAGAGTTTGTAAGATTGGCTCTCCATTTTGCTAGGCTAGAAACAGGAAGTACTACTGACCAATGGATTGAGTATCTTGACCACTGGGAGATGGTTGGTCCACATCCATGGGTGACTCCTCCCTCCGGACAGATGGATCTGACTGGCTAGACTCCGACTGGATAAAAGGGAAACAAAGTCACATAAAGGGCACAACCCTGCTTTCCTCAGGGACAGGCTAGAGTTTGGGCCTTACAGTTCTCGAAAATCAAGCACAGAAAGAAGTTCCCCATATCTGGTCAGGAAACGGGAGCTCTCCTGGACCAATGAATGGCCCTCCCACCTCCCTTGCTGTCCTCCACCCTGAGGGCTTTTTAAAAATGCTCCCTGGAAGCTTACACTTCCTACATTATTCCAGACCAGTCAGGTACCAATTCCCAAATATGAACTTCAAGTATACTTTTACGGACAGGTGTGCTATTGGGTTGTCAGAAAAGTCATAATACGTTTTTGCGTAGAAAACCATAGGGAAAATATGTCATGACTTTTATGACAACCCAGTATATGTACAGGGGACTTGAGAAAGTTTATGGAAAATGGAATAAAAGTATGTTTATTTTGGTGTGAAAAAATGTTCAAATCCATGCACAATTTTTTTATAATACACATTTTCCATGAACTCTTTGAGGAGCCTTTGTGTATGTGTAAACTTCTGATGGGCAGAAGTAGGTTTTCTCTTTGTTGGTTAACAATAGGACAAGTAACAGGAATGAGTGCAACTTCTCATGGGTGTGATTATTAAAAAGCCACCATCTATCTTAAGAGGTAATGAAAAAGAGACCAGGCAGGAAAAAACTATTTCAGATTACTAGCTCTATTTTTGCTTTCTAATTCTCAAGTCACTGTTCCTAAACTCTAGGCTATTCCTAGCATGTCCAATGAAATCATTCTGTGTAATAGTAATTATACACAAGGCAAAACTGGGTCTGTGGATACACCTTTACTTCCTAGATCTTGGGAAGGTGAGTTATAGGACAACATGCCACAACATACGGACTAACATATGTGAGGCTTTTACTGTACCTACTTCTGCTTGGTTACCAATGATGAGGTAGCTACTTAAGTACCTGAAGGCTCTTTCTCTTCTAAAAGTGGCTGAGTGCTTAGGTGCCAAGGGGTTATTAAGAATACAGACTGAGGCCAGCAGCCATTGACAAAAGTAGCTATGTGGGATGTATACCAAAATCCGTGGGACTTTCAAGGGTAGGATTCCTGAGATATCTCTGATGTACCTCCACTGTTTCACGAGATTTAAAAAAAATCATCCCACATACCCTCAGAACCCAGACACTTAGCATTAGGCAGTTTGCAAAAGCGCCACTGTTGACTAGAAAGCTGGGAGGGTATGATGGCCAAGCTTTCAATCAAACCAAACTTCAACGAATAAACCAATAAGCCAATCACCAAACAGTACAGAAAATACCAACAGAAAGTAACCCTTTTGTCCAGAAGCATTCATATATCAAACTTAATGCAAAAGCATACAAGGTAAGGGCAGTGAAACCCCACTGATGACATGGTGGGGGAGGAAGGGAAAGACAAATGAATGAGGGGCCACAGGCATCATGCTAACCGTTGCTGCTTGTTGCTGTCTCCGCGCCCTTTGACCCTCACGTACCATTTGTATAATGGCATCAGCCTCAGCCTCCAGCTGCCGAACAGCTGCCTGGATGCTGCTAGCTGAGCCTAAACCGGAGGAACCTGGGAGAAAGAGAAAAGGCAAGATATAAAATGTAAGAAGAGGGAATGCCTGATCTTCTATTTCCTGGGCTGCCACAGGGCATCTTGCTAAGGTCTTTAAATTTTAGTTCAGGTAGCTTCAGAATACTCATCATCAGGCACAAAGATCTACCATTACAGATTAAAGGCAAATGAATGGTGGTATGTGAGAGGGTTCAGTGGGACGGGAGGAAAGAGGGAAAATGACTTGACAGGCCATGGCGAAGGCAACATGGCTGCAGTGTTTTAGTTAGGAGTGAGAAAGGAAGCAGAAAAGAATACACCCAGTGAGTTAAGTCTTGTTGTTCAGTAAAAGACTGGTCCCCAGTTTCCTTGCTAGATTTCCATGCCCCCTTAATTCCCACTTGCCCTGATGAATTTCCTATGTAGATAGTTGCAATGAGATAAAGAATGAAGCCATCAACATTTTAAATAACGATCATTATTTTCTTTTTGGCAAGTTCAAAAGGAAGGAGACGGGACATTAAGTCCTCCCCCTCTAGGGACTTTGGGTTCTCCACCACCAACCCTGCCCCTCAATTGGACATTCTAATTTCATACCTAGCCTGCCTGTCTGCTTGGCTTTCTTGTTAGCTCGGCGTGTGTCGTCTCGGAGCTGGATGATGACCTGCAGTACCCTCAAGAAGAACTTCTGGGTAGATGTCTTGGATGTCAACATGGACATAGAAGGCAGCTGGAGCTCCCGGCCACCCAAGGGTCGCTTCTGAGATGCCACAATTACCACATTCTCAGCCATGTCAAACCTGGATAGTGTAGAGGTGGCTTGCATATATTGAAAGTATTAAAGCATAAATACCCAGAGCAAGCAGGGCTTTCTGGTTATCAACCAGAGGGGTAAGGAACCTCAGAAGGAAATAAGTAGAAAAAAATTAAGTCAAATGTGTATAGGACAGATAGGAAAGTTGCCCAGAGAAAGGAAAACAAAAAGCCAAACCAACGAAAAAAAAAAAAAAGGAATTGAGCAAGATCCACCTTTTGGAATGTCCCAGGTTCTAATCCCCAGTCAAAAGCATGGCTACCACCCACCTGCTCTGCATTTTGCCTTTCAGCTTGGTAGTCTGTGGTTGCTCCTCAGGCAGGCCATCAGGAGAGAGGGTCTCACACTGGGCTCGCCGCTGCTGTTCCAGGTTATATTCTCGTAGCTCAGCCAGCAGGGTACCTGGGGTCGGCAAAGGAGTCAGGAAGTCTTCAGAGACTTCCCTGTTAAGGTAGATTAACCCTCCTCAAGAAACCTACCCCAGTCTACACTTATCTCTGCTGCAGAAAACCCAGGGTAAGCAGTCATTTTGCTCTGTTCAGACCATGTGAGTTTATGGATCAACTCCCCAGGGAATCAATGATTTACAGTCAGGAATCTGTTGAGTCTAGTAAGTTTCAGCTTGGTAAAGAGGAGAAAAAGTATTTCTTTTAGAGCCAGCAAGTCTCAGTCTAAATCCCATGCATCTCTTGAATCTACTGAGGTTGTATGGTAATCTCGAGGCAAATTTTCTGACTCCTCTCAATTCGCCTACCCACTTTAATTGGAGTAATACTGTCTAACGTCACAAAGTTGCTGTAGAATTAGGAAATAATATGTACCTAGATAGTACCTGGCCCATGGGTGCTAAATAAATGGTAGCACACAAGGAAAGTTGGAAGCCAAAATATTTTTTGAAGAACCTTGTAATTTTCATGTGGAAAAGAACACCCTGGATCATACTAGCCAATCAAGTCTTATACTGCCTCAACTTCAGGGACATTTATGGTAAGACGACAGACAACTAATTAGGTAGTCAATATCTAAGAGGACCCATGACTGAGATAAGAGTGGGAAAGAGCAGAGAGACCCTCTCCCCCCATGTTGAAAGAAAAACTTGGCTCTATACCTTTATGCAATCACTTTATCACCATGGGTTTTAGCTTTCTTCTTGGTAAAACAGTTAGGATGATAGAAGGAAGACAATTTATAAAGTGTTCCTAAAATTTTTGTACCCTCAAGACTATACAAAAGCAGGACCATCCCATGGCTTAGTGGTTAAGGGAGCTGAATCCAACATGGCTGGCTGTGTGGTTCAAAGCCCACAGTAACCTGACAAATGATTTGAATGCATGTGCATTTGTGCCTCAAATACTTTTAATTATTTATTTAATTTAATTTATTCATTCATTTTATTTTCATTTGACCAGAGAGAGAGAGAGAGAGAGACAGAGACAAAGTGAGAAAGCAAGCCACCACGTCCAGGACTCGAACCGTGGTTGGACATGTGGGAGTGTCCAGCGCCTTAACCACCACGCCACCTGCTGGTCCCTTTGTCCCAAATCTTCACAGGATGGAGAAATGAAGAAGGGATTACTATGTGACCATGCCTCATTGGGGCATGTACCCTGTTTTTCTCTGGTAAGCACATGTGCCCTTTGGCAAACTGAAACATAACACACAAAAGCAGGGTGTTATTCTTACCCTATAATTCCTAAGCCTGGACACAGAATGGGCATTATCTTTGAGGTGGTGAAGCTGCCTCAATATGGGGAAGGGAAGGGGCACTGTTGTTTCCATGCACACTTTTTTTCTCTTCATCAGAGATTTCCTGTCATGAGCCACGCACTTGGATTGTAGAGACAAGCCCAGACTTGCTCTCAGGCAACAACTGAGTAAAGGAAAACAGTCGATAACCCAGTGCTATCAGTGTTTTCACACAGTGTACGTGGGGGCCCAGGGATGATTCCAGAAAGAGATGACACCTAACTGGAAAGTTGTAAAAAGAATGCTTTAGTCCTGCTATTACCTATCTGTTTACAAAGAGTATAACCCAGATGGCGGGCTCCATTCAATAGCAGCTTGAGAACAGTGTCTCGAGTCCCGGGGTCCCCTCGAGAGAGCTGTAGTAGCACATTGGCTGCATCTTCTAGGCCTTCTTCAGAACAAGAGTGAGATGTCAACACCTGGGGAAAAGGGTGAGAGATAAGTCTCAACCTGAGAACTGCAACGTTATCCACCCTACTTTCCCTTTCTTCCCAACCACAGAAGGTTAGAAAATAGACTCACCTCCACAGAGAGTTGTAGCTGGTTTTCAGTAAGGCCAGATGACACCATCTTAAAGTCTGCAGCATTGCTGCCCCCATCACCCAATTTCGCTGGAGATTTGCTGCCCTTAGTAGTAGCAGAGGCTTTGAGGAAACAGTAGAATACTGTAAGCCTCTGAAACTCACAAATCAGAGACTTAAAAGGCAAAACTAAGAAATCATTGAATCATCCAGGGCTTCAAAATGAAAATCCACCCACTAAAGCCCAAATCTAAATGAATTGGGATGCTAAACACTCTTGTGACTGGGACCAGCAGTTAGCATAATGGCTATGTTGCTGGACTCCCATGTAGTCGACCGCGGTTCGAGTCCTGGACCCGGTGGCTTAAACTCACGCTGGGCAAGCGTGCGTGCGTGCCTAAGATCCCGAGAGGAGAATGGAATGCAGCATGGCCATTCCCCCTGAGGGGTGATTTCTTGCTTTCTGTCTTTCTGTCTCTCTGGTGAGTGCATACACCCTATAGCAAAAACCTCTCCAAAAAAAGAAAGAAAGAAAAAAAGACGCTTGTGACTATGTGTAAAAAGCAACAAAAATTTCCAGGCATCTTGTCAATGGTTCCCCTACTATCACAGCCCCCTATATTCTCTGAAACATACTTCTTGAGATGGTAGTGAGGCTACCCTGATTTACACTGTACCCTGTCTGCTCTTGAATGATTCCCTATGAGAACTCACTACCTCAACCAGACTAGAAAGGCTGGGAGTTGCTTTCCTAGTTTCTCTCTAGAAGGCAGGGATTTTGTTCTCTTCTCCTTTTTGGTGCCTAACCTAAGGAATTCACATACAGTGCATGCCCACTAGTCTTCACAAGAGTATCTGCGAGTGTGGGAGGGAGAGAAGAAATAAAACTGGGGCAGATGATGGTGAGAATGAATGCATCTGCTCTCACAAACATAAACCAAGCTGACTGCTTTCATTCAGGATTAGCTGAGTGGGGAAGTAGGGGTTGAGTCAAAACATACACCCTAGTACCCTCAGCCTATATCCACACTTACTTGAAACAGTAGTGGTAGCAGTTGTGGGGGTGGTTACTGTGGTTGAAGCAGCTACAGCAATGGTGGAAACAGCTGTGGCAGCAACCAGGGCTGGAGCAGAAGTGACAGGGGTGGGTGCAGCAGGAGGTGTGGGTGTGGTGGCAGAAGCAGTGGTGGATGATGTGGTTGAGGCAGCAGTAGTGGTGGAGGAAGCACCACTGCCAGAATTAGCCTGTGCTTCTGATGCTTTGTTTTCTGGGAGAGCAATTGAGATGAGAGAAAGGAGTCTGAGAAGTTTCTCAGTCAAGAGAGAGCTCCGGCGGATGACTGGGTGTGACAACATGTTCATGAGCTGCCCCAGTGGAGAGGCTTCAAGGCTGTACAGGGAGGTTTCCCCCTCACCACCAGTGCTCACTGGCACCGACTTCACAGAGTTTTTGCCTTTCCGGCTGACATTCATGTTGTCCAGTTTTACCAGTAAGTCCCAGAAGTCTGTACAAATGCCACTGTTGGTGGACTGTGAAGAGCACGGGCTGCAGGCTTGCTTACTGCCCCTCTCCCGATCACTCTCACAGTTTGTTTCTTTGGTCCGCTGCTGTGTGAAGTGGCTGGGAAACACCTGTTGGGAAAAGGAGAACAGTCTTGATCTAGGGGATCTCCACAGAGAATAAGCCTCCCCAGCAGGGAAGGACAACTGTTTTCCAGACTCTTCTTGCCTTTGAATGGCTTTGGTATCACAGGGGAAACATGTCATATAGGAGTTTTATCCAACAGATGGTGAAGCAGCCTAGAGAAATGAATAAGGGCTTTGTAGCAAGGCAGACCTAATGATCAATAAACTTTTTGAGCCTGGTCTCTAGACTTGTAAAATGGGGAAGGCAAATATACTGCCTTGCAGTTGTTGAGATTAAATGAAATAATGTATTTTGCAGTGCTTGACATAAGGCAGGAATACAGTAGCACTTGCTTGTCACTGGAAAAATGTTGGCTAGACCAGAACTAAATTGTAGGTCCAGCTCTATTGCTTCCTAGTCACATGACAAAGCCACTGAAATGTTCTGAATCCCAGCTTCTTCATCATTCATCCTGTAAAACAGGAGTCATAAAGACTGTAGATAGTTGTAAGAGAGAATGCATAAAAATTGTAGAAAGTGAAGATTAAATAACACATAGTTATTTATCAGACAACTTCCTAGAAGTAAGACAGAGCATAACTCTAAATAACAGCAAAGAGATGTTTAATGCTAGCCCCTTTAGCGTTCAGTTTTCACCCAGGCGGTTGTTACCACCCTCTCTTCCATCCCCAGGAGGTGAGTTCCTCACCTTAGCCAACTGAATGAGTGTGTCCAGAACATGCCTGCAGACGACAGGAGCAGCCTGGGGGTGGATGTGGACGGTAGAGCCACTGCTTGCATGTTTCTCAGTGTGTTTGCGTCCTCCTGAACGCTGGATCTGGAATATATTAGTCCTGCAGCCTAGGGCTGCATCCATGGATACTGAAAGCCCGGACAGCTGGTTGGAGCTCTTAGATTCCACCTTGTGTAGCAGGTCCAGGGGACGGTTCTCATGGCTGCTTGACCCACAGCTCTTGCTCGACTTTTTGCCTTTTTCTTCACTTGTGGTGAGCTTTGGTGTTTCAATGCACAGCTCACTCTCGCTGCTGCGCTGCAAGATGGACAGTAGGCTGCGGATGACCCAGTGGCGGGTCTGGGCATGGTAGCAGAGATTTCTCAGTACTCGGTGTAGACGGCTAGTATTGAGCTTTGGCTCATCCACGAAAAGTAGGACCAGGAGACAAGACAGGGCTTCGTGATCCAGAAGGAGACGTCCTCGGAGGCGGAGGAGAGTGTCCACATTACTGCCAGAAGGCCTGGAAACAGAGTATGGTTTCTAGGTGACATTTTCATTCTAATTCTAGGATTAGGCATACACTCAGGGGATGGAAATGAGCTAGATACCTCCAACGAGGCACAGGAAGGGAAGATGTCCAGTTTTAGGGCTCTTCGTAGTAACAACAGCTGCCCTTGAGTGTTTACTGTGTACTAGGCACTATGCAAATGTTTCTAACACCTGCCTCATAGGGCTGCTATACAGCCTAGAGAACCACCCATTTTTGAGATGATGAACAAGAGAATCAAATGAGTTAACCTGGTCTTCATCAGATGACAACTAAGAAGAGAGCAGATACCAGCCAAGGTCTGTATCATCCACTGATTGGTGAAAATCTGACTGTACCCTTAGTCTAGGAAACAATACTGCTTTCTGCCTTTAGACTGCTGAGGGCTGCCTGACTTACAGGAACTGATTACTCCCTTCACACTATGTCCTGTTGGGCCCACTCTGCTTCAGGTTGGTTAAAAACAAACTCTTCTCTACTTCCCCAACCTAGATGCTACAATCTCAAGGTAAGTGGTTCATTGCTTTCCTAATTGAATGGGAGGCTGATGGCTTTCCTTCTTATTAAAACCCCAGCTAGGTATAGCCACAGTAGTGTAGTCAGTAGAGCACTGAGATCAGTGCTGGAGTCATATGAAGACTGTAGTTCAGATCTTGGGTTAACCTGAAACCCAAGATGCATGCACCCGATGCTGGCTGGCTAGAAAGAACACAGTGTGGGAACCAGCAGTTAGCGTAATGGCTATGTCGCTGGACTCCCACGTAGTCGACCGCGGTTCACGTCCCGGACCCAGTGGCTTAAAACTCAAGCCAGGCGCGTGTGCGTGTGTGCCCAAGATCTCGAGAGGAGAATGGAGGAGAAGGGATTGCGGCGTGACCATACCCCTGGGGGGTGATTTCTCGCTTTCTGTCTCTATGTCTCTCTCTGTCTGTCTGGCGAGCGCACGCGCCCTATAGCAAAAACCTCTATAGAAAAAAAAAAAAGAACACAGTGTGAGACTCTGTTGAGAGTACCTATTTCTTCTTTCTTAAAAATTTGCCAGAGGGCGGAGCTAGCAGGTGGTGTGGTGGTTAAGGTGCTTAACACTCCCACATGGCCAACCATGGTTTGAGTCCCGGACCTGGTGGCTTGCTTTCTCACTTTCTCTCTTGTCAAATTAAAAAAATGAATAGATAAAATTAAATAATTCTTGGAACCAGCAGATAGCTTAATGGCTACATTGCTGGACTCCTATGTAGTCGATCATAGTTTGAGTCCTGGACCTGGTGGCTTAAACTCACACCAGGCATGTGTGCATGTGTGCCCAAGATCCCGAGAGGAGAATGGAGGAGAAGGGATTGCAGCATGGCCATCCCCCTTGGGGAGGGGGGTGATTTCTCGCTTCCTGTCTATAGTGAGTACATGCACCCTTATAGCAAAAGCCTCTCCAAAAAAAGAAATCCTTAAGAAAAAATTACCAGAGGGCATATGTACTCACCAGAGATAAGAGAGAAAGCACACCCCTAACGGGCATGGTCACACCACAATCCTCCCTCTTTCATTTCTCAGTCCTGTCAGGATTTTAGACATGCACGCACACAAGTCCAGCATGTTGTTCCAGTTGTCAGGGCCAGGATTTAAACTGTGCTCAACCATGTAGGAACCAGCTCACCTTAAACACCAGGCTACAGGGTGACCCCGAGAGCACCTATTTCCTTCTGTCTCTCAGAAATAAAAACAAACAGGGACCAGCAGTTAGCATAATGGCTATGTCACTGGACTCCCATGTAGTCGACTACAGTTTGCGTCCCAGACCTGGTGGCTTAAAACTCATGCCGGGTGCATGTGCGTGCGTGCCCAAGATCCCAAGAGGAGCATGGAGGAGAAGGGATTGCAGCGTGGCCATCCCCCCTGGGGGGTGATTTCTCACTTTCTGTTTCTCTGTCTGTCTGGTGAGCACATGCGCCCTATAGCAAAAACCTCTTAAAAAATAAATAAAAGCAAACAAACCCATAGCTAGCACCTGCTATCAGCCTGCGTTTGTGATGATGGTTTTCGGTAGCTAGATCAACTTTACATGCCAAGTGATAACTTGGTCCGTATCTCAGGATTTTAGCTTTCCCACTTATTAAGAGAGTTGGACTGGAACCAGCAGGTGGCGTAATGATTACATTGCTGGACTCTCATGTAAGCTGACCACAGATTAAGTCCTGGACTTGATGGCTTAAACCTCATGCCAGGTGTGTGTGCATGTGTGTCTAAAATCCTGAGAGGAGAATGGAGAAGGGACTGCGG